TTATGCTAATACTTATCTGTCTACATGGCGACTACAGTTTTTCCTACTGTCAAATGTCTATCTCCCTCCCACACGGACTATTTTTAATTTATTTTTTTTTTTAAATAAAAGGATATTTAATTCATAAACCCTACAGACAGAAACCACCAGAGAGTCTGAAAAACGTGGATAAACCTCCAAGAGTTCTGATCCCTAGCCACAAATCTGGACTATTTCTGAAAGCACATCTACCTTTCTGCTATTCTTTGCCTCAAGCAAAATCTCCAAGACCTCAGCCCTCAACCCTGTGATGATGCAGCCAAGGCATGAATCAGTCCCCACCAGTCCCTCTCCCCACGCTGGACCCCAGTCAATTCACATACTTTCTCAGGAAGGGGTGCCGGCTTTCCTTTTAGTCTAAATGAACTGTGATTGCTTCTGTAAACAAGAAATGTCTCCGACGCCCTACAGAGCATCTCTCCTCCTCCACTGCTGCCTCAGCCACCTCCTCTCACCCTTAGGCACTCTCAGCTGCCATGATGTCCCCGCTGCTGAGTGTGCTCAGAGCCTATGAACCACAACATGGGACTCCCAAGGGTGTCAAACACAACTGCCGATACTGAGTGAGTATGGGAGTGCAGAAAGGACCAGCAGCTGATTTCTCAGAGATATTTTCATCTGAAAAAAAAAAGAATAAATGGGCAGCTGAATGAGGTGCTGCTCCATCTAGGGAGTATAGATCACTTTTGGAAATAGTCCCAGGCTGTAGCTTTGCGATTAGGTGTGTGGCCAGATGGACTGAAGGGAAAGAAACAGCACTGGCTCTCAGGTTTTTAACTAAACCCTTGCTGGAGCGAGTAAGGCGGCCTGAATGCAAAACCCCTCCACAACTCCCAAATACTCTGGGCAAAAACCAAACATTAACTTTTATTTTACATAGGCTAATGAACTAAGCTTCCAGTTTTAAAGTATAAAGAGACCTGATGTGCAGAAAGGAGAAAGATCTGCTATTTGCCCAGGTTCAGGAAGGTCAGGAACACAACTTCCACTCCCTGACACTTGACCTTTGCTATGGTTGCAAAGACACTGCTCTCCTTCCGTTTTCCAGATTTTATTTCTCTTCCTAAAATGCTAAGATTTTATTTTGAAGCAGGCCAGAAAGAAAGGCTATTAGACAGCACGCAGCATTGTTTCTTCTTAAATTACTCATCTCCTTATTAAAGAGCCATAACATTTTCAAGCCTCATTTTGGGAGATGTGACAGTTCTGTTTCCATCCTGTTAGAATCCACTAAACGAACAGGCAAACGCAGTGTTAAGTTGCAATTCCATCATTAAAAACCTCTTACAGCAAGGGACTAAAGCACTGTTAAAAGAGTAGAATATTCTCTCTATGTATTAGTGTGCAACTTTACCTCATTGATCCAGAACGAATTCAGGGTCACGTTTTACTTGCAAACTCTGACAGAGTTCAAAGACTGGTGAGATCTGTCTTTGAATCTGAGATAAGCAAGCAGGTATGGGCGATGTTTTTAATTCACAGATCATTGCAGCATGAGTTTTGCATGTGAACGAGGCACACCAGATATGCAGAGGTGACAAGGCAGTTCACAAAGAATGAGGAATCAAAACCAAGCCCTACGTGTGTAATAATTCTCCCTGCTGCTATCTTCCTCTCTTGGCTTGTACTGGTGATGTCAGTGCAGAAAGACATACTCATTGATCCCTTTTCAGGAAATACTGAAATGTCCTTCTTCCTCTTCCAACAAGGCAGCAACTAGAAAGAACTATTGCTTTATTTTGATAATCCATGATACAACTGATCTCAATTTAATCAATGAATCCAGGATTTAATCTATCAGTCTCACCACCGGATGAATAAAAATATGACAGGAGAGAGAGTAGGTGAATATTTCTCAACAAAATTGTTTGTAATCTCAAGGAGATTCTTCCTAGTATGGTTTGGTTTAGAGTCACATGCGGTTCCTAAGCAGAGTCCCTTGATTACATTCACTTTTGATGAACTGAAGGAGGTTATAAGGATTCAGTCACAGGATTTCTCCTAACATTGGTAGAAGAGACAGAGTTTGTGGAAAGTTACTGCTCTTTGAACCTACCCCTCATGAAAGAATTCAGCCTAAAGGGAAAAAAAAACATAAGAAATGCAGACAAATGCGATCACTACAGGCTCATTTTCCCTGGAAAAAAAAAGTGATTTTATTTATGCTCTTTAATATTTGAGGCTAAAGAATCTGCTAGACTGGCAAAGCCAAAATATGTTAAATACAACAGTTTGGTTTATAGGAAATACCAGAGTATTTACAATCTAGCTACCTAGATTTAGCTAGGATTTAGAAATTTGGGGTTCTTTCCCTTCCCAAGTGAGCTAATTTCCTTTTTTTTTGCAAGAAAGTCTGCTATCATTGGAATACATACTATAAAATACAATGTTGGTTCAACATTGATGAGCCAATTTTATCCTGCACAGATGTTTTATTGTTTCAGCAGGGGAAGCAATTCAGTTTCTGCTTACCAGTGCTCTAGAAAGGACTGCTCAATCAACATTTCATACCACTTTTTCTTTCAAATAGACTTTGAAATTGTTAAAACTGGTATCTCAGTGCACAGTTGTCAAGTAGGATTGTATACTAAGAGTCGACTGTCTAAATGGCTATACTTAGTAAGGGCTGGAGTGAGCTGAAGACCAAAACAGCGGTCAGCAGAAGTGTTTCTAGATGCTGCTGACACTTTTAAACCCAAGCCTATTTAAAAAAGGAGAAACGTGCTGTAGCATATTCTGGCAGGTTGCCTAATATTCAAATAAATAGGGACTGCATTGACCTATTATACCCTTTCAGTGCAATTTCAAAAGCAGATGCAGAAGCAAAATATTCTATCATACAGGACTATTCTATTAGAAAGCCATCTTCAATAATAGCTGATGTGGGTTACAGTATGCTAGTATACTGGGGTCAGCATCACACCTTGCTTCCCTTACCTGCTACAATTTAATTTTGTAGCTGAGTCACACTGGAAGGACAGGATTTAGGGATACAGATGCTGGAGGAACAACTATACTTGCTAGTACTGACAGGGATTCTTGCAAATGGCTGGCTGCATGGTTGTGCAGCCATCTCCCAGCTGATCAGAAAGGTATCTAATGCACAACCTAAATACTAGTGTCCTTATTCACATGCTGGACACGGGCATGGCTGTGTGACAGTCATTGTTTTTGTCAGCACATGACAGATGCTGATCTGCTCTTTTGACAGTAAATTATATGCTCCACCCTTCGCCCCCCCCCCCAGACACGCAGCTGTTAAGACGTAATGTTGCTGTTTCAGGGACGTGTGTTCAGTCACACAATAAGGTAATGAGTGACAAGTCTTCGGGAAGAACAGCAGCAGGAAATGGCTAATGCTCAGATGAACCATACTACTCTGGTGGGCTGGGTGGGACTTCCACTCTGAGGAATCCCCACCTTTGCTTTGTGTAGGGATGTTTTCCAAATGAATATTATTCCATTTCTCATTTCATGAGAGCACATTCACAAACACACTCACAAATCACTGAACAATTTAGGTTGAAAGGGACCTCAGGATGTCATTTGGTCCGAAGTCCTACTCAAAGCATGGCTCATGTAGATCAGAATCTCCCACTCTGTGCCTCCCACAAAGTATTTATTTGAATTAGTCAAGCACAAAGGAAAGCAGAAAGGCTGAACAGCAACACAATACAAAGAGGAATACAAGCTACGTGTGTGCAGGTTTTGATGGTTTCATAGGTGCTTTGTATGAGACGATGCCTGTGCTAGTGGGAAATACCATACAACATATTCCATGTATTATGACACCGAAATAGGGAAAAGTCTAATAGCATTTTTCAGTTGTTTTGAAAAATTATGGACTTTTCAGTAAGTTGTCTGAGACTGATAAATTACAGCTTATTTCTTCACAGCCTGAAATATTGCTCCCCCCATCCAGGACCCAGCAGGAAGGGAAAAGCTGGAACGGGACTAGAGAGCAGCTTGGGAGCAAAGCTCAAGCACTAGGACTTCAGCTCCTTCTCTCTTGCACATGCTTGATAGTTTCCAGGTCTGGGTTAATTTCTGTCAGTTACAGGGACGTACTGCAATTCCAGATAAACAGGAATCCTGAACATGAACTAACAGCTCCAACAGAAAGGCTAGTTAAGAGCGTAATAGATTTGCTAATAAAAGTGTGTGGTTTACTACCTGCTAGAGCACGGGCCTCCCTGTGGGAACAGCATTACCAGGAAGTCGGCAGCTGCCTTTATTTGCATTCGGTTCCCCACAAAGGGTGAGGAGCAGGCATACAGACACACGTACACCCTGGAGACATAGCCAGCAGCAGCCCGTACACAAAGAGCTCCAATCATATGGAGATATTCTTTCGTAACAGCCTTAACTCCATCTTTTAAACTCTTAACAGCTCTCCAAGTGGGAAGCCAAAGTGAGACCAGCTCTTACTAGCTTCATAACTGATTCTTGCGCAGAACAGTTAAGGCACATGCTAATAATTAATTACAGATCAACACAACTTAATTAAGGAAAGTGCTTCTTGCTGACTACTAAATTCCTTAGTGTCATTACACATGCAGCATCCTACAGACAGAAGAACCTTAGAGAAAAATTCAGGTGACCAAAACAGGAATTAAACATTTAGCCTTCTACAGCAATCTGGATACATCTGGGGTTAATAATAGATATATACTACAGACGGGATGAGTCACTGGAAAATCCACCATATGCAGAGACCCTGTATCTCATTTAAACCACTCAGTGCAGATGTGAGATTCATTCCAAACATCACCTCAACCTGTCAGAAATTCCCTCTTAACAAAGATGTGATTGACTCCCACATCCTGAAGTTAAACTTCAGTTCTGACAGTAAAGCAATGGGAATTTAAGAAAATTTGACATTTGCCTAAGCTGGGATGGTAGTAATGTTAGAGTTATTTGCATAGCTGAAAAATTTGTAAATTGGAAGTGAATTATCTTACCTGCAGTGTCTATGCTGCTCTTGCTGGACACAATTTTCAACATCATCTTCTCACTAAGTAATAAAAATAAAAATCATAATTTTAACTCACTAACAATAAAACTGTAGTTAATGTTACAACCAGCAAATTAAATGGCCATTTCTAGCATATATAATTTAATTTAAATCACCAATAGCCTGTCAGTTGTTTTGTTTTAAAATCAGCTTTTAATACAAGTTAAGCAAGGAATGGAGTACAAGCAGCAGAAAGCACAGAGATGTAGCTACATTAATTCTTTTTTTAACACAAAGAAGAGTAATGCAGTTAATCTCCATCTACCATTTGGCATATTCTTCCTCTCTGCCTAGCATTCTCATGGGGATGATAAAGGTATTTTAAAATGATTGAGCATTCAGGGTCTTTTACTACATTCAAATATTATTTTTGTTGATTGATTACTAAAATTATTACAGAGAAACAGATTTAATGAATTCTTTTTTTACCTAGAGGCATCTTTGCTATTACTTGTATTTGGCCCTTTAAAAAGCGCAGACTGAACAAGACCAGTTAAACTGGCAATCTGTTTCTCCATGGCTTGTATCCTCTCTCTGTAAGACAAGAGAACCGTTTGTTAAAGCCAGATAGATTTGCTTTCAGACTTGTTTTTCTAGGTGAATATTACCACAGGCTTGGAAAGACACTACAGAGTGTGCAAAGGCCTATGGGTACCAGTTTGCATATACCCTGTTGCAGCCGCTTACCGTATCCTGATTTGGACAGCTTTTGCATGGTAACAGACAATAAAAAAAAGTTATTTGCATGGTTAAAAAAACCCAAACAACAGCCCACCCAGACAACAAACTTCTAATGATCTCACAAGACAGGCACCTTAAACAATCAGCTAATGCCTCCTGTAAATAGTGAAAATATATATATTTTTTTTCAGCTTTACATGTAACTTTTCATTTAATTGGCCATTATTTCTTGGTCAATAGTTTTGTCTGTATATACAGTTTCGGGATTAAAGACTTTATACTCTTTCTTACTATTTTACTTTCCCCAAACCCAGGATTTTTGTCTGTGAAGCATTTAATCCGCCCAAGCTGACTACTTTCCACTCCAAATCCTTTTCACCTGACATCACAACTGTCTGCTTTGGAAAGGACAGCAATGTGACAAACAGGCACAGGACACCAAATCCAAACTGTACAGCAACATTACCATAAAACAAATTTGCTTGCATGCACATGTCCTGAGAAACTTCTAAAAAGCACATGAAAAGAGATGAAGAAGAAATGTAATAGATGCGTTAGAAGAAAGAAGAAGAAGATGAATGATGAAGAAGAAATGCAATAGATGTAGTGTTCTACATAGGTACCAAAAGCCACAGAACAATGATGGCTATTTTTTTGGATTGGAAGGCTAACATTTATGTGTTTATCTGCTTACACAAATGCATATATTAGTCAGGTACTTCCACCAAAACAGTCTTTTGCTCACACAGGCGCCTGCTTTCACATGCCAGTATGTCAATGACACATCACAACAGACACACGTCAACATGGGACCTCAGTACCTTCTGAAAACACACCCCTAATATGCCAGCAGTTAAGTGACAGGGGAGACACAAAAAAGCAAATACTAATAGCAGGCTGTGATTTTGGAAGATGACTGGGAACAAAATTTCTCAAAAGAGAAAATGATTAAGACCAGCAGTGATGACTGATGAAAGAAGACGGCACAAACACACACAGCCCCAGACTCAGTCTGCTGCAGGCACTATCCATCACCACTGTGGCATCCTGCGCACAGAGGAGCAGTCAAGCTCCAGCCACCCACAGCTCTGATTGCCATTTGGTGGCCAAAGCAAGAATGACAAGCAATAAGGGCCATATAAACTCAAATGTAGATACCAATACCAGGGAAAAGCAACCTGATATGATACAAAGCGGTGAACCAGCCCAGATTAATTATTTCATTCACATTCAGAGAATGAAGCAAGAGGTTTGCTGGGATAGAACACAGATACCATAGCTAGAAGAGATTCTGTTTGAGACAGCCAGACATTAAGAAACCAGGGAAGCAAAACAAGTGATGAAATGCCAGCAGACAGGAGAAGGGAAGAAGAGAGTGCTCAGTCAGTCCCCGGCTGGCAGGCGTGTTCTTACTGCGATTTACTGCAGCATGCACATCTTTGCTGTCTTCATGCTGAAAGGTGGAGACTAGGAGGAGACAAGTGAATCTGACCTCATTCATTTCAAACCAAGAAACACGCTACAGAATTTCCACTACTATAAATGTTAAAATAAGAAAGTGGTTCAGGTTACTGTAACCTTTGGAACAAAAACAAGTACTAAAAGCCTGGGATAAATATATTCTAACAAACTTTAATGCAGCACTTTTGACACTTAATAATGAAAACATTTTTTTTTCCCCAGATATTCATCACAAAACCTTCCTGGAACTAAACTCAATTGGAAGTCTATCTGTTTTACCGATTCATAAATATGATGTTTTTTCCATCCCACATTCGATAATCTGGAAACAATTTTCTGCTTCAAAAGAGATTACGGCAACACAAAGCTGATCTTGTCCTTTGCCATGAAATCTAGGAAAATATGTTGTTAAGAGGGAGAGGGATGTTCTAGAGATAGGAGATGATGAAAAACGAATGAAATACTGGAATCAATTGCACAGAGCACATTATTTTTCATATGGTAAAAGTATTAAGAATGCAAAGAATCTGCATGGGCTCTGGAGTTACTCCATTGAAGACAAGGCAGGATTTTTCCTGTAGACGTTTCACTGTAACACCCAGACTCCTTATGGCCATCAGCACCAAACATTTCAAACCCAGGCGTGTGAAAGGAGGTGCCTTTTAAGACACTATATAACCTGATTTTTGTGAGCTGGCTGTCTGACTGAAGGTGATGGGAGGCAGTGTGCTCCAGCAAGGGCAGGGTGGGACATGGATGTGGCATAAACAGCCCGGTGGTGGGGCCATGCCCTGGGCTGATGTGGCTGGAGGGGTGATGGACCAGTCCTGCTGTCCACCACAGAGCGCCAGTGGAGCAGGAACACTCTCTGCAGCCACCTCCTTCCCCTCCAGCTTCCCTGTGAAAAGCTGGAGCAACCTCGGCTCTGGAGGGAGAAAATGAGCAACTTCTCCAGCCTGTGCCAGGCTGGGCTCTATCAGGGATGCCGGAAGTGTCATGACAGTTGTACATTTTTGGTTCTCAACATTATGTTCTCTACTCCTGACTGTGCTCCCTGCTGTGGAGAGGGAAGGTGAGGGGAACAGCCTGGCCCCGCCATCCCTCCCCGCATGGCAGGTCAGGGTTTCCAGGGCAGGGAACAGCCTGGCACTCCAGGGACGTGGGGCAGGCTGGGGCCCCCATGGACAGGGCAGGCCAGGACATGCCAGGACATGGACAGGAACACTAGGAGAGAGAATCATGAAGAACAAAATGCAGTGGTGCCTCCTTGCTGGCAGTGGTAGCACAGGAAGGCTGAACTCTGGCTCCATTCCCAGATTAACTTCCCAGATAAATCTGCAACTCTCCACCACCCAGGAAGAGCAGGGAGGGTCCCTTCCACAGAATCTGGGACAGAAATGGCTATTTTATCAGCCTGAGCACAGAAAGGCATTGTTCCACATTGTTTTCCTGTGAATGCTGGGAGAGTCAGAGGTGGTAGTATGGTGAAGGAGGAAAGGAGGGGACAAGGTCAGAAGTGACTCCCAGCTCTAACACGCCTCTCTGCCAAACTTGGCTTTGGCTTGTCACAGACCTTGGCTATCCAAGCAGGAATGGAGCCTTGTTCTCCCTGGCAGCCTGATCCATGACCCTGGCGCCAGGAATGTCCAGGCACTGGGGCCCTGCCTTAGCATCTCACTCTCCTATTCAGCAGAAGCAGAACAACCCCTTTGTTTCTCCAGGAACTGTACCTTAAGACATCAGATTTCACCACCAGGTTTCCTCCTTACAGCTTCACTGATGTTTGATGTCATTCCTTCTACTGCGCTTAACTGCAGGTATTCCCAAGCAGGGTACAGCATATTGCTGAATTTGGTACTCAATTCTCACAGCAATGCTATTTAAGTGTGACATCCATGTTCCTTCCCTTTCCTGGGGACATCTTTAATATTCACATCACTGAGAGGATACATCATACTAGAACTGGGCTGTGTAACTGTTCATTCATACTCCTGTTCAACCCCAGGCTGTGCTGCACATCATCTGTAACGTATGTACTCAAGTAAGCCTGGCACCATGAACTAATTGGCACACTATCCTGGAGAAAGATTCTCAGTGACTTCATATTGTATAGTTAAACCCTGAGTGAAGTCTGTATAGTAATCAAAAAGAGGGTCAGAGACGGGGAAAAATAATTATTTTTTTTCTATATTACACTATGAGAGAAACATTTCCTTAAGAAAATTTTTATTTCACTGGAAAAAGAAAGGAAACAGGAGTAGGCTGCCTTTCCCCATGGCTTCCCTAGAACCAACTGAAAGTGTCACAGTCAGACTTCACCTCAAAGTCTTCCCCCAACAATACAGTGGATATTCTGGAAGGGTGTGAAGCAACGATCAGCAGAACGCTTCTGCAATCTGCTCTCCTTCCAAGAGAAAGATACACACAGATGAATATTTCAGTCTTCTAAGAATAAGGTTAAACTCAAACTTTCTACAGCTTGAAGCTAAAGGGAAAAGGAAAGCTATGAAGCACTGCTCAGCTGTGCTGAGTTGTTGACAACTCTTATCCAAAAGCCTGCATTTCATCTTCCTACAAACAGTTTCTCCAACAGAAGGAAGCCCAAGTACCATTTACCTTTCCTTCATCCTGTATGGGTCATTTGCATCCGTCATTTCCTGCCTGGTTATTCAACACCTTTCATAAAGGAAGATGCAATTTTGGCCCTGTGGAAAGTGTCTAAGAGAGTGTATCTGCAAAGTCTACCTTTATTATATAATTGTCAGTGCATTGCTGATGGAGTCTTCCATGTCTATAGAAGACATGTCTATGTCATACACTGTAAAGCCATATTTATGGCTTTACAGTGTATGACCATTTTTTCCTAATATTTTTCCATCCATAATGTATCATATCAAACAATAAAGCAGTTTCTTGATGGGAACCATATCCAAGAACATATATGTGACCATTACATTTTTAGTCTTGAACTGCAAGCCACAAGCTGTGAATGTCATGACTTTTTGCTCAGCTCTATCACCATGTTTTCTCACTAATTTGGCATAAAAAAGAAGAGGACAAAAGTGTTTAGACAGAAGAGAACTACAATACACTCCTGAAATGCTTTTGGAGGAAAAACATTCTATAGAGCTATTTTGCTACGCTAAGGATTATAATTTAGCTAGTAGTAGCATTTATTATATACATATTGAGCACTATCAAATAACCTAGAATTTTGCAACACAACATATGTTTTAAATGCAAAGTATGTAAATTAAATGGCATTTAATTTAATGCACTTTTGGATAAACAGCTTCTTTTCAATTTATCAACATTTAAACACTTGTTTTGCTTGTAGTAACTTCAAGAACTGCCCATCATAAACTACATAAATGGGCCATCCAGAAATATGATAGAAAATAACTGTTTAAACAATTAATTTTCACTAAAAAAAAAAAATAATTTTTTTCTTCCTGTAAACCTCAGTTTTAAGAGATGATGAATCCTGAAAGATGAACTACTGCAACCTATTGCAACTTCTAATATTTCTGTGCATATGAATACCAACATATTTTATTTTTAAAATCTCCTTGAACTTGTTTCTCCTCACTGTTGCAGAAGAGCTTTACACAAAACTTTTATGGTAAGTAAGTTACTGTGAGAATTCATTCAACGCTTTGTACCACCGAAGTAGCTACCTTGAAAATACCCAAGGTAAAACAGACATAGCAAGGAATTACATGAAGCAATAAAATGCCCCTCAACCCTGGCTTAAATAAAAGATTTGACAAAACTGGCTTCTGCAATACAAAACTAAAATGGATTGTCCTGAGGTTGGACAGTGCTACTTGAAGGCAATTTCCACAAAGAGGTGGCACAAGAAAGATATTATTTGTTCTCAGCACACTCCACTTGCATGTAGGGTCCTCAGCCTGAATGAGTCAGGATGGGGAGTCTCTCTTGTCACAGTGCAAAAATGCAGAAGACCTCCCTCCTCAGCATCCCCAAGGCTAACAGATACTCAGTCTGCCTTCTCTTTGCTGCTCCCCCCCACCTGACACTGTCTGCATGCAGGCTGACTGAACACAGCACCATTTGCTTCCTGTGGCCTGGTTTTTAGGTCCTTTGCGCAGTCATCAGCAAACGGATAGTGTGCATGACAGAGCAGCATACACATTTTACCATGTCTGGGAGAGGATGAATTCAGCCCCAGCTCTCCATTCTCAAAATATTCTTGCTCATAGAAGCAAGCCCTGCTGTGCTGCTTATGGTTGTAAACTGGACGTCCAATACAACAAGGTATGGGATACCTTACTGCCATTACATAGGCCACCCTTCAGGTGTTCGTAACAACCTGGTAACAATTTAGCTGCTGCTGAAGCAGGAAAAGAGCACCTCAGCCTGGATACCCTTAGTGTTCCTTGTTTAGTTTAGTGCAATCTCAACAGTGTTTGTTTTCAAAGTTTATGAAATCATTACAAAGCTACAGTAAGGCTTAAGGTATTTTGTATCCACAGAACGCAAACCCGATTCTTAATATTCCAGTGGTTACAAAACACACAAATTTGGATAAATTGCTTTTAGCATTTACAATTGTTTTTTAAAAAGTCACACTTTCTCAAGGTTAAAAAAACCCACAACCTGGAAGGGCAGCTTTCAGAATTATTTTTTCACTGCCATGTGGCTAATACACACCATGATGAATTTTAAGGTCATGTACTTATTTGGAACTGAAATTATGAACCACTCTAAGTATATTCTGAGGCCAGGACTAAAACTTCTGGTGCAAAGCTTAACCTTAAAGAGCTGCAGAACTATCTGTATAGTTGCTCTTCACATATTGATAAATACAGTCTCCTGCATATCTGTGTAGTTGAGTGAACAGACAAGATGCCCACAGGGGAAAGCGAAGGTTGCACAGACGGGAAAGTTGTTGGTGTCCTCCCTTACTTTCGAACCCCTAAGGAACCTTGTAAAAATTTTGATCTGAAAGCTTTTGGATTAGAATTGGCAAATATAGTTCAAATTATTTCCTAGTTGCAATAATGGAAGCTTGAAATGAAATGTCAGGTACCTGCATCTTTTTCTTGAATATGGATCAGGTTTCACTGATCCTAGATTGTAAGATGCCCTAACTCATACCCTTGTGTCAACATAACTACCAAGTTTTAAATCTGTAATTTTTGTGGATGGCTGATTTTATGCCATTCTCCACTTTCTTCTCATTGATAGACCTCAGAACACATTCTTTTTTTTCTGTCTGAGCACAATCAGAGGCAACTAATTGTTGAGCAAATTGCTCAGGTGGAAGGGAAGTTCAGGGCCTACATGAAGTTCTGTATCTCTCTAGTGGTTAAGGCAGTCAGTAGTTACCTTTGGCCTCTGTGAGCTCAGCATTTTCCAGCTATTCATCTTCACTTCCCTAAAGAGCTCTATAAAAGTTAACAGCACAAACAACATGCTAGAGATTAGCACAACTCATACACAGCAACTGACTGGCAGTGTAAAAATTTTACTCTCCTAGGGCAGGGTCTATGGCAGGAGAAGCCTTCATGGACCTTTGTGTAAATCTGGTCCTTAAAAAGACAGGAGAGATCATTGTCATCGTTGTCAGCACACAAAAGTTAACAGTCAGGTCACCAACTGTTTGTGATGCTGGAGAAATCATTGGGAACAGCATTTGTGTTTCTATTTCTTCCCTAGGACAGACCTGCTCTTCTCAGCAGTTTCCCCTCAAGGAACATTATTATAAACAACTGTCCTATTTTCATGCAAATTCATGTTTTACAGGAGATAAGACAGTAATGATAAATTCTTCCCATTTCCTAACACTAGATGAGAAAAACTCCACTCAATAAAGAACCAAAATTGTAATATCGGAGTGTCATTTTTAACGGGGGTGAAATATATTCCCTTATTAGCAGCAACAGAACATCATTTGTTCTTGTAACATGATCTGGTTGTCTGGAAAGAAAAATCCCAGTTAATAATTTTATTTTATTATATTTTTCCCAGTCACCAAAATTTATACAAATGAAAATAACTAGTGATTCATCATGGGTTGACAATACTTTCAGATTAATAATGGGTGGTGTCGGATCTCCGCTAAATTACTAACTACCTTGACAGACAGCTAATAAACACCGCAGCCCAGTGCAGCAGCCTCCTACACATTACATCATCCCCTGGATGTTGAACAGCACACGACGTGCAGATGAGGAACGTTTCTCATTTGCATAAATTAAGCCCCAGCTCTGCCTTACCTTGTCTCCTTGTCCTTGGGTATCACAGGCGACCCATAGCCAAAAGCCTGCTTGTCGACTGGAGAGGGCACCACCTCAGCCATTCCCGAGAGGCCGAGGGCACTCCGTGCTTTGGCGTCCACAAACATAGGCTGTCCTGGCTCCTTTTTGAAGGACTGGCGGCTGGGGGAAGACCTGTCAGGCTGGATGGTGTGGGAGGGAATGTGAGCGCTATGGTGAGGATGAATGTCGATCATTCTCACGTCAGGCACCCTGTGGGGTGAGGCGGGAGGTGTTTTAGAGCCAAGAGTGGGCAAATGGCTCTCCGGGTACTTTCGTGACTTTTGTCTGTACAAGGACTGCTCCAGCATTTCAGGCTGCATAGAGGGGTTGCAGTAAGTGCTTGATGACCTCACGGCACCGCGATGGTAGGCCACAATGTGATCGGGGACATCGAGGGGGTGTCCAGAGTGGGGTGCGGCCACACTCATCCTCCCCTCATGAAACAAGTAGGGGTCACCGTACAGACCTTCATTTCGGATCAGGGTAAGGTTTTTGTTACTCATGTCTTCATCTGGCTTCACGTCTCGTCTCTCCAGAATGGCGCTTGGGCTGGGCGACATCGAGCGCGAGGCCGGCATGCTGGAGAGCCGGTCCCTGGGGATGGTGGCATTGCCTGGCACACCCACGGGCCGGCCCCCACCGTAGGGAATCCTGGATGGAGAGGGAGGCATGGAGTGGGGCACCGGGGTGGAGGGCGGAGAGCTGGGCATCGCGTGGGGAGGGTGTGCGGCAGATCCAGGACGAGAAGCACTTGGGCCATCTCGGCCCGTGTAAGCAATTTCCCTCTGCATCTGGAAGGAAAAAGAAAAACATTTAAGATATAAAATTACTCGATGAGCAAAACGGGATATGGGTTGTGACAACTGTGACCTCTACAGAAAAAAAAGGGAAAAAACCCAAACTCTTGAGATCAAATAATTTGTCATCTGCCTAAATAAAACACTTTGGGACCTCATTACCTAAAGAAAATAACAACTATAAACAGCAAGAAAATGGGCTGCATGTTAAAGGAATACGAGAGTTTTAAAAATGCCTTTATTTATGCAAATACTACTGCACCCTAAACAATTCAGAGCCAATCAGGGTTTTCCATGCCAGGTGTTCTAAATACACATCGCCAGTGACAGACTTAACCTGTTTACTGATAAGACACGCAGGCTAGAGTTCACTGATTCCAAACCAGGAAAAGAGTGCTGACGCTCTGGCATCATGAACAGACACCAAGTCCTTAGATTAGAAAAATATATAACTAATAGGCCATTTGCTTCAGTGCATGAATTAGCCTTTTTCTAATAACTTGATGTGGTCTTTATTACACAAAGGATACACAAAGCGTAGAAAAAGAACACAAACAAACATTTATTGGCTGTAATACAATCAAGCTGCATGAGAACAGTTTGAGCCTATAAAATATGTGCCACTGGTCTCCTTCATGGCAAAGGTAACAGTGCTGCAGTTTGTGGAGCACACGTTCAGAAAGTCACCAAACATTTTATCGCAGTTTTTTAAGCAGCAGTAACTGCCAGCAGTAAGGAATGAGCGAAGAAAAAGAAAGGAAAAACTTCCACACCAGCATATTAGTGCTTTGCTAACAGAGGCCTTGGCAAAAATCTGAATGAATGCACGTACTTCTTAAACCGCAGCATCTCACTGTGCCCAGCAGTGACCTCTCTAGGTGTCTGAACACTGTCACTGACAGACCCAGGAGAAATTCTCCTTCTAGCAAGCATTATGAACCTGCTCTGATGCTGTTAAGAGTAAAGTGGACAAAGAAGATGAAAAAGTCAGCTGGGGTTCTACCAGGAATGTAAGAAAAAAAAAAACATACAGCTTCTAAAATTTGTGTTCACAGTTTCAGCTTCCCTCTTCATCACTTCCAAGGGGTGGGAGGGAACTGACCATCAGCAAGCTCGACTCCATATTCCTAAGGTTACTGAGCATACACTAATGTGCAGTGGAAGTTGCTGACCTGGTATCTTCACCATTTTTCTCCCCTTTCACTCCTTGCTCTGACAATATCACTGGGTTCCTTGCAGTTACAGTGATCCATGGCTGATGAAACAAGAAATTCTATTTTATTCCTGCCCCATCAGATTTTTCCACTGGTAAGGGAATTGCAATGGCGGTATATAAACAATAGCTGTTCTCTGCACAGCAGGCTCCTCTGCATTTGGGAATTACAAATGACATTCCCCAGGGCAAGGAATCAAAAGTCTGGAGTATCAGGTATCAGAAAGAAGAAAGGAGCTAACCTGATTGTGGCAGCAGTAATAATAAATAAGTGTAACAGAACAAAGGAGTGCACTGAGATGGGTTGTAAATGAGCCAGACAAAAGTCATCAAGCCAAAGGGTAACACGGGATAATTTTTTCATTTGCACAGATAAGTACTCTAGTCTGGAATTTAAATTAAAATACAATTAAACAGTCTTAATAAAATTATCAGCAGGTATTCAACAAAGTTCCTATCGGCATGAAGAAACACTGCAACATACTGAGCTGTATTGTGCGTTCAGACACCCAACCTGGGCCACCCAAACTAAAAGGCTCCTACTGACTTCAACAGCATTGAGACTGTGCCTCCAGGGATAGGCAGCCACAGATGCTTCACACTGAGGGATGAGCCCAGAGACAGAAAATCCTCCTTGACTTCTGCTGTGCTATGCCCTGTTTAGCTGCTTCAGCTAAAGCTGCAATAGATGTAATGGTATCTGCAACAGAAACCTTAACTGGCATATGCTGTGTTGCAGTGATGGGAAAATTCCAGTATTACCTTGTAGAAAGGAGAAAATTTCCATGGGAAGCTTTGAAAGCAACAGGTTTAATTCCCCTAACTTTTAGGCTTCATATTCCTGCATACGCTCATTCACTTCTCATAAGTCAAGGAAACCTGTCAAAGAAAAAAATCCCATTTTCCACCCTAACATATTACCATACTTTAAGATAGAAATGAGGAGTGCAAATACAAGGCTGAGCTATTGCTCAAAAATCTGTGTCTGAATATTGACGTATATAATGTTATTTACTTTTGCTTTCAAATAACACTTGGAGCACACGGCCTGAATCAAGACGCCATTGGGCTGGGCAGGGCACAACTGCCTGGGCAGTCAACCCCTTCCTGAAAAGTTCACTTTCTATTTTAAGCCATGACTCAGACTCTGGGTGGAGTGTGCACAAGGGGAGAGCAGTTGGAGCCACAGAGTACAGGGTACCCAGGGCAGCTGCACTGGGGCATGTGGACTGGGCAGGGACATGAGCTGGTGACCAGGAGCCAGGCATCCTTACCAGCTGGATTCAAGAGTCTTCTGCCACCTGGCTGGTATTTTTTTCATCAAAATCTCTATATTCTTTGTTAATGGCAACTTAAAAAATGTGAATGACAATCTCTTCTTACTCCTCATTTATTCATCTTTTGTGTGATATTCAAGGCACACTACTCTGTCACATATACCCCACTTTCTATGCTGTTTTTCTTCTACTGTGCTCCACCACAAAACCCCCATGTTGCTCAATGAAAACACGTACTTGAATATGCAGGCTGTCTTGAGCCACGTTCTTGGATATCAACTGCGTGACTCAGGGACAGAGAAAGATGATACTGGGCATATCTGGGCCTTTAAATACTAGGTGCTATCACAGCCAATTGCTCTGAGGTCAAAAGGAAGATTTTCTTAGTGCAAGCATAGGATCATGTGCTTTTCGATTGCAGCCATGTAATGTTTGCCTGAGGGTGTGGTTATCTTCAGCACACAGCTCTTCCTTGTTCTTACTGCCTGTAGATTTTACATCCTTCAAACAGAAACTTGTTTTGTCAATCCTTAGGCTACAATACAGTAAACGGCTAGCATCAATTTCTGTCTAAAACATTTGAGAGGAAAAGGCATCACTAAGAATCTTTCACTTTCTGTAGTAAAAAAGATCACACCACGTTTAAACATCTCTTGTGGAGGTTTTTGGTCAGTCTAACAGCACTTAAATCTGTAAGATTCAGATTTAGATTTTCTTTTTTTAAAACAGCAGTAGAGACACTGATGAATGTCTCTGTATGCTGAAAAGCGAACAAAACCAGTTATGTTCTTCACTTTAAAATTAGTTGGCATACTCAGTAACTTGCTGTATTTTGAATATGACTACATGCAGAAAGGTGGCAAACCAGCTACCCATCCACCCCAGTGGATGACCTTATGAAGAGTCTTGCTCCTGGTAGTTCACATAAAGGTCAGGCAAACCCAGCTTCTCCACATACAGCAGAATACAGAGCTTGTGGCAGCTCCTGGGCTCTCAGATAGCACAGCTCTCCTGAAAGGAGGGCAGATTTGTGGTATCAAAACCTTTATGGATAGAAAAAAGCAAGATACTGTTCAGTGGCTCAAGAGCTGGTGATTTCTGCAGTACGATCCAGTGTGGCTTGTTGTCCATCAGGACCAATCCAACACTATGCTAGTCTTTATTCTGAATTTGTAAGGGCCGTCCCATCTCATAGGTCACTCTTGTGATCTGTCCCAACATGGGGATCTCACAGTGAAGAAGTTATCCTTACTTCTGTCTCGCCAGCTGTCTCAGCACATCACTCGCACGCGTGGCACACACCAGACAGGGCATGCGGAGCCGTGCCTGCAGGCACACCAGGGCAGTGCCAGCTAGCACTAAGCACACCACTGATTCATCGGCAGGCAGCTGGAGACCAGCAGTACAGCCTGACTCACACCATTTTCTGCCAACAACATATAGCAAAACCTGGGCAAAGGGAAAAGTAGGCCAGAGTTTCTGACCGGGCAGCGTTTCCCATTGCTCTCCCACGCCTTGTCTATGTCAACAGAGAATAGAGCAACTGACTTTGCCCCAAGGACTTCATGTTGCCAAAATACCTACATGGAACATGTTCCCTAGGTGGACCTTATCCGTGCACCCTCTTGGAGAGACACTCCAGAGTTCCCATCAGACTCCATTAATCACCTCTCAGGTATGTGAAGCTATTGCTTTTCTTACTCTCCCATTTGACACCCTGCCTTTCCCTGAGGAAACTGCACCTATGCTCAAGCTAGCTCACCCAACAGCAAACAGAGGACACCTGTAAAGAATTTTAGAAGAGCTTAGAGACTTTTTGGTGAAAAAGCTACAGAAATGCCAGGTACTGATATAATACTGACCAATCCATCTGTCTGTAAAGAGATCGTCCATGGAAATTGCTCTCCAGAAGAAAAATCCCTAAAAGTGAGTCAATCCTTCACTTTTCTAATCAGGAAAGACTTAATTAAAGAACCTCAAATCCAAGCACAATACAATCCATGAGTTTTTTCTTTCCTTATAAAAAGAAATTGTCAGCTTTTCTGTACTATTTATCCAAAGCCCTCAGTTTAATCAGTTGTTGCACTATATGCTACCACTTCTGTTACAAGTGATCTTTCATTCAGGCTGGGTTTGGACAGCAGAAAGCACAAATCCACTTTTGCAAAAACCCTGTCATATATGGGTCTAATATTTTTAAAATTATACACTTTAGAATAACAAGTAGTTCTCTTTAAAATTACAGAATTGGTATACAGTCTGAAAATGAAATTTTAAAAGTACCCGTACCATGACTACCTCTCTGAACAAATTCTTATGATACCAGACATCACTGAGAGGTCGTCACACTTGCTTGTTCTTGCCTTATCATAGTATGCCTTTTAATGCCTATACATTTCCCCATTTTATTGCGTCATTAGAGAAAAAAAAAAAAAAAGCCAGGCTAGCTGCAGCTGCGGGTTCCTCCAGCTGCCCAATGCCATACTTGAAAACTGCAAACACAT